TATCAAAATGATAAAATTTTCACTCACTTTTAACAACACTTATTATATGTGATGTTTTACAACATGGCTAAAAGTATAACCATTTTGATTTTGGTACTTAAAGGGCTCACTTGTTGAAAACTATCATCTTTTGTAATGCACTATCTCATCTTTTTCCCCTAAGAATGTTTTCAGACAAATTCAAGCACTTTTCAAACATTCTTTAAATTTGATGATTTTAAAGGACTTTTTTTTTTCATTTTCAAGCACTAAATTCTAAGAAACTGCCTCAAACATAATTATGCACTTTTTAAGACACCGTACATGCAAACAGGCTATTTGTAACTACACTTATCCAAAATATTTTTAAGAGCATTATAAATTTACTAAAGGTTTTGGTTTAATTTTGAACAACATAATTTTTTATCTACCACTTTAAGAAGGTGCTATATGACTTTTTGGAAGTTTAAAATAACCTTTGCTAAGAAAACAGATAAAGTTAAAGACTTTCACCATCCTTATACAAGCCTCTGCTCAGATATTTCACTGATTTTCTGGACTGCTGTCTCAGAAAAAACACTTGTTAAAGTGCCTGCACTACAATGCGAAATGCTCTTGTTAACCTTGTTATAAAAATTCGTTAAATAAATAATCTCAGACAACCAACTCCTTCAATCTTCATTTAATTATATCATGCTGACACAATGTGTTTGTCAACAGATGTTTTGCCCATATACATTCTATAAACTTTATTTGCCTACTGTTGTCCTATTTAAATCTGAAGTCTAGTGCAGCCATAAATATAGTTATATATGTAATTAAGTCACACAAATTATTTGTGTCCTGAATGACTGATTTTTTCACACTATTTTATGTTGTATATTTTCATTTTTACTGTTGCATCAGTACAACAAAAGATAACATTACTAACATTATATGTTCTCAATGTGACACCAACATCATAACCATATTTCCTGTTGTGACACAAATATCACAACCCTGTTTTCTTATGTGAATTTGTGTCACAACCCTGTTTTCTTATGTGACACCAATGCCACAACCAATTTTCCTTTTTTTCTTATTTTACTTTTCGTATGTGACACATTAGTGTCATGATCATGTGTCAAACTGTAACATCAGTGTCACAACAATGTTACAGTTCTTTTATGTCCAAGAAACATAATACTATAAGTATGAAGAAAGAAATATGTCATAATAGGGCTTCAAAAAAGCAGATTTAAGTAAACAAAATACATACCTTAACTTCTTTAAAGGACAATGATGCACTATGCATGCATGAGCATAGCTCGATCTTCTTTCTCATTCTATGCATGAATTATATCCTTCAAACACAACTTGTCACTTTATCAAAGTATTGTTTAAATGTACTTCTTGTAGATAAAACACTGTTACATAATCAATTTATCTCAAGAAAATAGTTAATGCAAGTGTATTATTTATCTTCATTAGGCATCCAATTTAGTTGTCAATGGCAGATACACTTCTAAATCACTTCAAAAATAACACAACTTAAAATTCACCCACTGTATGTTCAAAACAATGTTCCTCGGTACTTTGCAAAGACAAATCCTCAGATAAATTTTCAGTATTAAGATAAGTTCTCAGTGTCATCAACATCAGTAAAATACTGGCTTTAGAATTAATCCAGTAATAATTCTGTGATATTATCTCTATATCATAAACAATACTAAAAGTTGTTATACCAAGTTACATATTTTCCTGCAGTTTTCTGGATACCTTGAGATGCACACAGCACTGTTATCACCTTACAACCATCACTTACTACTAATGTGTTTGGCACTATTTTTTTTGTTCAATGCAACCTAAATTCCAACAGCTTGTGGCATCATTTAAAGATAATGCTCACTGCAACAGATTTATTACAACTATCATGTTTAGACCATATATTTTTTCTGTAAATCATTATTGACTTTTACAATAGCAGACCAACTCTTTGATATATTTTATACATCCCAGATTGTTTTCTACAATGCTTTAATACTACCCCTAAATTTGTCTGGATAAAAAATTTTATATTACAGCAAGAACAGTTTTCAGTTAACAGTTTCAAAAACTCCAAAGCTTATAAGATCAATTTTGAAGAGCAAATATTGTACCAGCCAGTAAAACAACAAGGTCCAATTTTCTCAGTGCTTGATACTTAAACAAGAATCTCAAAAAATAGGAGTTTTTAAGTAAGGGAAACAATAAAATGACAATCCAAGCTGGGGTTTATGACATGTATAAAAGTGTATAGAATTAACATGACATGAATTAGCCTTTACCAAGTAAAATTTCTTAAACTGACTTGCCCATCTTTCAATCTGGTCAAGACCAGCATCCATTATTTTATGTAAAATTTCAAAAAATACAGTTAATTTATGGTAACTTGAAATTTGGCATAACACAAAGGATTTTAAAGTCATGTCAAAATTCTTTCTTTATCTATTATTATATTCTAACTCCATTTATATCAAATTTTGACTTGTCAAGAGGAATTTTTGGTCATTCAAATACATTTTCTTCTTAATAAGTTGAAGAGTTAAACAAGAGGGCCATGATGGCCCTGAAGTCGCCCACCTGTATATAGGCCCCTGGAGCGGGGCCAGTTTAAACCCCAGGGCTTTTGTTTGAACAAACTTGGTAGACACCCATTAGAAGATGTTCCATGCTAAACATCTAAGGTCTAGCTGGTCAAGTTTTTTCTTTACACATATAGTTAAAAACAATGACACACCTAGGGCAGGGCCAGTTTTGACTCAAGGGCTTTTATTTGAACAATCTTTGTAGGCACTTACTAGAAAATGTTTCATGCTTAATATCTAACTCTAGCTATTCGGGTTTTTACGAAAAAGATTTTTAAGTTTTTGCTATACACATATAAGGAAAATCAATGTCCCCGGGGCGGGGCCAATTTTGACCCCAGGGCTTTTATTTGGACAAACTTTGTAGACACTCACTAAAAGATGCTTCATGCTTAATATCTAAACTCTAGCTATTTGAGTTTTTTCAAAAAAGATTTTTTAAGTTTTTGTTATACACATATAAGGAAAATCAATGACCCCCGGGGTGGGGCCAATTTTGACCCCAGGGCTTTTATTTGAACAAACTTGGTAGACACTCACTAGAAGATGTTTCATGCTTAGTATCTAAACTCTTGCTATTTGGTTTTTAGTTGGGACGTAGTCCCAACTAGTGCACTTACAAACCCGAAATTTCCAACCATACAGGGTAACGCCCACTGCTGTGACGTTTCATCGCCACTCTAAATGCTATATTGTATTCTAACATATCAAGGTAAGCTGAATTCATAGTGATCACCCGACCATGATCGACGCATAACCGCCGCGAGTGAAAAATAGTGCTCTGAATTTCTGAAAACTTCGATTTATTGTGAACAGAAGTGGAGACAAGAAATTTATTTTTTGAAAATAATGTGCAATTGAGCTTGAATTACGGTATTAGAAACTTAGCGGATATAATTTGAAAGGTCACATAATTCTATGAATGCAGGGGTTTTTTTTACTAACAAATTGACACCGATAGTCGGCGTCTTCCCCTCGGTAAATAGCCAAGTTTTTTCCCCCAAAAAATTCTATTTTCCTTTAAACTGGATCAGATTTAATAGCGAGCTCGACGAGCTGGCCCGAAGGGCCTGCTCGCAAAGCGAGCTTTACGGTAACGCGAGTACCTGCTAAGTGATGGTTTTGAAAACTTTCGTCCAAAGTACCGAATTGGACACATCGCAACCTTTCGAATTTAAAGATAACGATAAAAACTGAGGAATTCTGGCTGAAAACGGATGTGCATGTAGACTGGTCACCCGCGCACGTCTATGGGAACCATAATTGGACAGGGAACCAGCATAACGGAAGCTGTGTATAAAAAATGAAAATCGAAGGCGCCATTTTGTTTGAAATCTGATAAATAAAAACAATTTTTTTGTCGAATTTTGTTGTGAAAACTATCTAGAATGAAAGAAAATGGTCTAACTAAGAAAATGAATTCGAACACCAATAACTTTTATTCAGTTGTTAACGCTGTACAGACGTTTAAAGTATTGTTTACGTGACGTCACAATGTAGCGCCAAAACAAGCGCGTGCAAAACAAACAAATCAAGTACGCTATTTTAATGTCGCAAACGTTTTTAAGTTTTACATTTATTTCACTTTAAATAATCTTTATTTCGCTTGAAAAATTATAGAGTGAAATAAAATAAAACATAGTTTTATAAACGTTTTCAAAACTCGTTATTCATTTCACGACAGGGGCGGAGCCATATTTAACACAGTACGTGTGACGTCACACGCACTCGTCACTGCATTTGAAATAAAAATGAGCGATTATTTCATACTATTTCACGTAAAAAGTACATCGAGCTCGCTTGAGGCTTTGCCTTTTTCATATTAATCACATGGTTTAAAATATTATTTTTCTTCATTTTATGCAGGATAAACCACCAATTGTTGTTCAAAATAACCAAAAACATTGCAGGAAACTGCAAGTACTGTCTCAACATGGAGGCAGCCATTTTTTTTTCTTGGCTATATCCCGTACTGAACGGTACTATTTCTGGAAATCAGTTGCTATCAAAATATTGTCATTTTCTTGGTTATTTTTAGTAAAGTAATATATTTTGTACTTCTTATTATGAAAATGACTTATATGGAGCTAAAGTGTGTCACAGATACACTATTATACCTATACTGTATTAACTTTCATACAAAAATAGAAGTATAAAACCATTCACCACCATACATATTAAGAAAATATGTTATACTGCAAAGAATATTATGCATGATGATAAAGTTTTTAAGGGGAAAAAGATATAGTTATAACTCTCTACTATGTAGTTAAGTATATAGTATAAATAACGTCATAATAAAGTTTCCCCAAATTGACTTTTTTCGTATATTTTTTCCCCTCCCTACCAGCGTCCAGCGTCTTCCCCTTTTCCTAAAAAAAACCCCTGATGGGATAGTAAATTAATTGGGTCATAGTGCTTGACGGCTTGCAATATTAAACTTACTCATCCGCCTTATCATCACATTTTTTTGTATTATATTCCAGAATTTTTGAAAAAGACATTATTTATCGGATAAATTTTGTAGTTTATAATTGCAAAGTGGATATTGAAATAGAATTAGCCAGAGATGTAGATAATCTATTCGTCTCTGAATTAGCCGATAATTAGGTTAAATGAATCCGACAACTTCCGGTATATTTTCCGACCTACTTCACGAGCATAATTATCAGCCTGTTAAGCTCATAAGGTATGTTATAAAGCAAAATATGTTATGAATTTGATGACTAATAATATTAAGTTTATTTATTGATGCCAATTTGTTTCCGAGGACTAAAACTTTCGTAAATAATTTCGAAGTAATTTGGAGATCTCGAGTCTTTCGTACCCAAGACATTTCGATCATACTTAGACTGCAAAACCGACAGATTTTACAAATTGATATTACACAGATGTCTGCCTTTACAGGAAAACCGGCATATACGCCTACAATTTTTTGGTCTTGTCACGGCCGTTACGTCTCTACCAATGGGGGATATTCTTGAATATTTCAGAATAATTTTATTTTGACCTTTATAAATTATTATATATATCTATTTAAAGTCTAGCCATTTCATTTTGGGTCATCTTTTTACAATTTGAATAATTATTCTGGAAAAACGAAGTGCGCAAATGATCTAAAGGTTTGTACAAAGATTAGTGTTCTAAACATTCATCAAATGGTACATTTATCTGGAAAAAATATTTCAGTCCCATCATGACAAAATACCTCAATGGAACCCCTTTAAATTGAATTACACTTTTTTTAAATGTATGGGTAAATTCCATTTTCAGTGGTTGAAATTTTTCCTCTTTTCTGATTAATCAAGCTATAGTTTCCCATTTATAAAGCCACAGGTTGTTTTGAAAGTTGAAAAAAAAATCACTGCCACCTTGATAATTGTTAACCTGAAAAATCTTCAGACACTTAAAGGGATTTGAACCCCAGACCTCTTGATTACAAGGCAGACACACAACCATGTCGCGAAAATATCAACACAACAGCAAGACTGTTGGAAATGATCTATACCTGTTCTCAATACATGGTTGAAGTAATTTATCAGTGTTAATTTAAGACATTTTATATGATTTAACAATTTTTGACACTACTGATACTCACATTTTTTTCACAAATCTAAATGTAAAAAATAGATATCATAATAAAATGATAGAACATTTTCTATTTTAGTGGTAATATTGTGGAGTAATATGAAGAAATATTATTAATATTTTATTATCATAAATTTTTCAAATTTTAATTATGTCATTACATGCTGTACACAATCATATTATAGTGTAAACATATATATACATTGTATAGACACATATATACATTGTATATACACACACTAAGAGAGTAGTATTGGATGATTTTGAAAATGAAATCTCTAAATTGATATTTTCAGGGTAATAAAAGATTATTTACTTTAATATTCACTTGGAAAGGCTGGTACATGTAGCTAGAAAAAAGTACAGTATAAGATTAAAGAAAGACTAGAAGATTATTACAAACAACAGGTACTTATATAATATTTAATGTATATTTCACAAACCAAACTGTTTTCCAAAAAAAATTAATGAAAACATGCATTTTTACCAGTGTCACCACGGGTCAGATTAACAGACCCATTCCCAGTGGCAAATAATGCCAAATATGCTTTTTTTCTTTTCCAAGTTTAGAAAAAAATCATAAGTCAAAATTCTGTTATCAAAGCTGACAATTTTTCTTCATTCCATTTCAATCCAATATGGTACCAGACAGATGATGTTCAAAAACACATTCCATTGTCAATTTTTTATGTATTTTTTATGTATTTTTTATGCTTTGAATGATATACAATTTGTTGGATTAACAACTTTGTACATGGTACTAAATATTTTTCCCAATCAAGATGCAAAATTTCTTAACCCATTACTTCATGAGCATTTTGTGAAAAATGGCTGTTTCCATTGAAAAGTCTCCCGTTACAAGTTCAAATTGCTATAATACTATAAAAACTGCTTCAACACTAATCAAACTTGGCACAAATGTTGACTGGACCATTGCCCTTGCAACAACATGCTCAGGCTTAAATTTTCTGTTACCATGGCAACGAGGGGACATCTCAAAATTGCCCAAAATCACTATTTTGCCTCGATTTTTTCAATCAAAATTGATTTCAAAGTGATGCCACTTCTCAATGGATTGAGATATAGTCAAATGCTTTTCAGCGTTGGTTACACGTTACCTTATGATCAATCTGGGGTCATTTACAGCCTCTCACAGCCTCCAAAATTTTCTTGGCATCATGCTTAGAATGGTTTCACACAGGTCAGTAAAACCGGTGTACACAATGTACTGTCTGCACATATGTGCCAGAAAAAATATCACAAAAAAGGAATTTAGTATTACTATGAGTATTTATTAAAGAAATTGTATTTCAAATATATTTAAATAGTATTATTGAAAGTCATTTTGTATGACAGACACACAAATCTAGTGCTCTGCATTATAAATGTAAGAAGTGACAAATAAGATAAGCATTTTTTTGCAAATTATTGCACTTCATATAATTTTTATTGCTTTTTTTTAAGGTGGACATGTGTCACTGTCAAGGGAATGAAGATAAGCATCACACTCGGTGGGAATCTCCAGTTTCCAGATGTAGTGATCATAACTGTATAGGCACCATTAACACTTTGGACTAGTTGGAGTATTTTAGAGGGCTAGTCTGAATTGAATCCCCTGTCAATAGTAAAGGCCAGTCATGAACATTGTGTTGAAGGAAAATGTTAAAACTCGGATTTTCATTACTTTACCTTATATTCAGTGCGGTAATGTAGGAAATGGTTACTTTCTGGAACGGAGCTGTCAATTATTTTTAAATTTTTAGCTTGTTAGTGTTATCGTCGGACAGTTGTAAAGTAAAGACATCGCAGTTTGACTGTATACAAGTTGCCTTAAAGAAAGTATGTCGAAATCTTAACAGTTATTTGTTGATTTTGTAGAAATTGACCAGAATTCACCTTTGTTTACATGCATCGCTTGGACGTCGAAAACGACATGCAATGACATTTCAGTGAAATTTGGAAACTTGCTCGTATTTTGGAGCATTTTGTAGGATTTCGATGAAGTAAAAAGTGTTTATGATAGGATACATTATTCCTAGAGACAACCACAAAGATAAAATAGTGATCTGGTGTATTTTTACCGAACAGTTCTTGTTTGTTTTGCATGATATTTTTCTCTCGTAAGGGACCTTTATTCTTTATATATAGTATTATGAGCGTATATGGGTAAATGTGGTATATAGTGCCTGTGGTTTTAACATGTATCTTAGCTTGCCTGGTGTTATGATAAGTAATAAACCTGAGAATTGAAACTATGAGAATAAATTGTTGCTATTAGTCCCCTTCTATTTTCATTAAGAGGGGACTAAAGGCTGACCCATTTCTGTATGTCAATGAAAGCTGAATTTTGCTATAACTTAAATGGTACAAAAGTAAGGTTCATCATACTGGTATCTGATATAGAACTATACAGAGATTTAGCATGTTATTATAATTTATGCTCCTGAAAGGGAGAGAATATAGTTGCGGTCTTAACCATCTGTCGGTATGGACTCAAGTAATATTATGGATAAATATCTGTGTTCATTCCATTCAGGCTTGTACTTTTGGGGAAAAAGGTTGCTCATGGGAGGAAAATATGTTTTTAATGGTGTTTTTGAGATTTTAGTTGATAAAGGAAAAAAAACATAGTCTGTACTTAGGAAGACATTTGTCCTTCACACTCTTGTCCGAAATATGAATATAACTAGATATGTATTGAAGGGATTTTATGTAAACTTCACAAAGTGATAGAGACTTTTAAGAGGAAGTGCAATGTTCAAGAAACATAAATCTACCTTGCTTCATGTTTTAATTATATCCCTTAAGTTAAAAATGCTTATTCCAAACTATCACTGAATCTACATCAACTTGAACGACTCGAATTTTCCAATGTGTCAAAGAACCATAACTCCATTCCTTAGTTTTTAGCTCACCTGTCACAAAATGACAGGTCAAGCTTTTGTGATCCCTTTTCGTCCGGCCGTAAACTTTTACTTTAAATGACATCTCCTCATAAACCACTACGCTAATTTCATCAAAACTTCACAAGAATGTTCCTTTGGCTGTCACCTTTAAAAATTGTGCAAAGAATTTAATTCCATGCTGAACTCTGGTTGCCATGGGAACCGAAAGAAAAAAACTTTAAATATCATCTTTAAAAAAAACCTAAGAGCTAGAGCTTAGATATTTGGCTTGAAACATCCTTTAGTGAGTGTCTACCAAGTTTTTTAAATAAAAGCCCTGGGGTCAAAATTGGCCCCGCCCCAGGGGTCATTGATTTTCCCTATGTGCATATAGTAAAAACTTTATAAAATCTTCTTTTAAAGAACCCAAAGAGCTAGAGCTAAGATATTAAGCATGAAACATCATCTAATGAGTGTTTACCAAGTTTGTTCAAATAAAAGGCCCGGGGTCAAAATTGGTCCTGCCCCAGGGGGTCATTAATTTTCTTTAAATGCATATAGTAAAAACTTTAAAAAATCTTCTTTTAAGGAACTAAAAGAGCTAGAGCTAAGATATTAAGCATGAAATATCTTCTAAAGAGTGTTTACAAAGATTGTTAAAATAAAAGCCCTGGGGTCAAAATTGGTCCTGCCCCAGGGGGTCATTAATTTTCTTTAAATGCAAATAGTAAAAATTTAAAATCTTCTTTTAAAGAACCCAAAGAGCTAGAGCTAAGATATTTAGCATGAACATCTTCTAATGAGTGTCTACCAAGTTTGTTCAAATAAAAGCCCCGGGGTCAAAATTGGCCCTGCCCCAGGGGATCATTGATTTTCCCTATATGCATATAGTAAAAACTTCAAAAATCTTTTTTAAAGAACCCAAATAGCTAGAGTTTATATTATAAGTTGAAACATCTTCTAGTGAGTGTCTACAAAGTTTGTTCAAATAAAAGCCCTGGGGTCAAAACTGGCCCTGCTCCAGGGTTGTCATTGTTTTTAACAGTATGTGTTAGTAAAAACTTAAAAAATCTTCTTTAAAAAAACCCAATAAACTAGAGCTTTGATGTTTAGCATGAATCATCTTCTTATGGATGTCTTCCAAGTTTGTTCAAATAAAAGCCCTTGGGTTAAAACTGGCCCTGCAGGGTGGGGGGGGGTATATACAGGTGAGCAACCTCAGAGCCATCATGGCCCTCTTATTTAATTATCTACCTTTATTATACATGTACTTAATTATGCTTGTCCAGAGAAATACTGGAAAAGAGTTGATGAAATTTGATTAAACTTTTACACAGCGAAAATAATCAAGTGAAAGAAAGTGTTTTTTTCAAAGAACCCTAATTTTTGTGTCGCCTTGAAAAGGTGACATAATAGGGGTTACTTTTGTCGGCGGCGTCTGTGTCGTTGTCAGCGTCCCCTAAAGCTTGTCCGGAGCATAACTCAGTCACTATAAGTCTGATTGACTTCAAACTTGGTATGCATGCTTCTTTTAATAACCCGATGTGCAGTGCACAAGGACCGGTACTCTGCAGTTCTTATTTTTTGAGTTATGCCCTTTGTTAATTTTCATACTTTAATTTTGTCCGGGCCATTTCTCTTCAACTAAAAAAGCTATGGACTTGATACTTCATAGGATGATAGATCTCATTAAGAAGAAGTGCAGTGCACAAGAACCAGTACTCTGTACTTCCTAATTTTTGAGTTATTGCCCTTTGTTAATTTTCATATTTTATTTTTGTTCGGGCCATTTCTCCTAATGAATAAAAGCCATGGACTTGAAACTTCATAGGATGATAGGTCTCATTAAGAAGAAGTGCAGTGCACAAGAACTGTTACTCTGCATTTCTTATTTTTTGAGTTATTGCCCTTTGTTTATTTTCATACTTTAATTTTGTCCGGGCCATTTCTCCTTAAGTATAAAAGCTATGGACTTGAAACTTCATAGGATGATAGATCTCATTAAGAAGAAGTGCAGTGCACAAGAACTGGTACTCTGCATTTCTTATTTTTTGAGTTATTGCCCTTTGTTGATTTTCTTTCTTTATTTTTGTCCTGGTCATTTCTCCTCAAGTATGAAAGCTATGGACTTGAACCATCATAGAATGATAGATCTTATTGATAAGAAGTGCAGTGTTCAGAAACTGCTGCTCTGCACTTATTATTTTTTTAGTTATTGCCCTTTGTTATTTTTCATATTTCATTTTTGTCCTGGCCATTTCTCCTAAACTACATTGTTCACAAGGCGACACATCCGACTTGCGGAGTTCTAGTTTCTAGCTTAATTTTACAATTATCATCTCTTAAAATACATGTACAACAACTTTTAAAATAATGGTTGTCTGGAGTAAATCTTTTCAATGATATCACACTCAAACTAAATACAGTTGTAGAGACTAGTGAGCAGAAGTCTTGTGTCAAATAACCAAAATTCTACATTACTTAGTTTTTGAATTATTTCCGTATATATTTCATGATACTGTTCTGAGAGAGGATTAAAATATTGAAGGAATTTGATTGAAACTTTATAAACGTTATACAGTGAAAGAGATTAGCATGAAAATTGCAGTAAACAAAGGCCATTATAAGTTCTAATGACATAGTCACATTCATATAATGTGATGCAAAAAATATTGACCATTTGAGTGTTTACTTGATACTGATACAGAAAATTTGATAAATATCACAATTGATTATTTTTTCATAGCTTTGTCTCCCTTTATAATGTCATGTGTTAAAATAGTCAAGCTTGCAGTTTCCTCTGGTAGCTCTAATTTCACTTGTTGCTCTTGTCAAAAAAGGCCAATAACGGTTTATGATCGACCTACACGTACATGTAACCTAAACATTATATTTGAACATGTGTGTCATAGAATAATTGTATAAACTACTGTTCGTTTACTGAATTGTGCACTTTATATTTATCAACCGGCAACACCCTTCACTCATTGAATTATCTGCCCCGAAATAGAAAAAATAGTTATTTGATCCTTCATACGTCCCAACTGCAGTGCCTTCAGCACTTTGATTTTTAAAGTTTTTGCTATACACATATAAGGAAAATCAATGACCCCCTGGGGCGGGGCCAATTTTGACCCCAGGTCTCCTATTTGAACAAACTTGGTAGAAATCCATTAGAATATGTTTCATGCTAAATATCTTAGCTCTAGCTCTTTGGGTTCTTTAAAAGAAGATTTTTTAAGTTTTTACTATATGCATAAAGGGAAAATCAATGACCCCCCTGGGGCGGGGCCAATTTTGACCCCAGGGCTTTTATTTGAACAAACTTGGTAGACACTCACTAGAAGATGTTTCATGCCAAATATCTAAGCTCTTGCTCTTTGGGTTTTATAGAAGAAGATATTTAAAGTTTTTTCTTTTGGTTGCCATGGCAACCAGAGTTCTGCATGGAATTAAATTCTTTGAACAATTTTCAAAGGTGACCACCAAAGGAACATTCCTGTGAAGTTTGGATGAAATTGGCTCAGTGGTTTATGAGGAGATGTCATTTAAAGTAAAAGTTTACGGACGGATGGACGCCGGACGGACGCCGGACGAAAAGCGATCACAAAAGCTCACCCTGTCACTTTGTGACAGGTGAGCTAAAAACTGAGGACTCAATCAAAGGTTAGCAGCATCAATACTGTGATACTGTTTCACACATGTTATGATATGTTGTGATACTATTTCACACATGTCATGATATATATTGTGATACTGTTTCACACATGTCTTGATATGTTGTAATACTGTTTCACACATGTTATGATATGTTGTGATACTGGGCTGCGTTTCATGGAGAGTCCTAAGTCTTAAGTCTGTCTTAAGATAAAAATTGTGACAATTTTGCGTTTCAAAGAAAGTCTTAAAAAAGGTCCTAACTTATGACTCTTAACTTTATGACCAAAAACAGTCCTAAGTCTAGGAGTGTTTTAAAGGTATCTTAAGATTGTCCTAAGTCAAAACCACTCCAGAATCAAACAATTTTTTGTTGAATTTTGTTTTGAAAACTATCTAGAATGATAGATAATGGTCTAACTAAGAAAATAAATCCGAACACCAATATCTTTAATTCAGTCATTAACGCTGTACAGAAGTTTAAGAGTTTTTTTACATGACGTCACAATGTAGCGCCAAATATCGCGTGCAAAAACTAGGACGTATTTATAAATAGTAATATTACTGCGCGATGTACAATTGCAGTTGCGTAGCAAGCAAGGGGGTTCGTAAGCAGTTTTTTACTATGAAATTAAATAAAACTGTTATTTTATCGCTTTTCGTGAAATATGGT